TTCGCTCTCCTTTAATGCACAGCACGTATGATCTTTTGTTCTTAATTGTTACCCCCTGTTCTTTGACCCTCTTTTCTGAATGTCAGACAGACAATTCTCAAGAATTCGTAGTATCTAAAATCCAAGATTTTGTGTAATAATTTTTAAAATATCACATATATACACTGAGAAAAAAAGTTACTTAAACAAATAAATATGTTTCAGGTACCCCTCAAAGAAATAATTTTCTTGAAGCAAGTAAAATTTTTTTATTTTAAGTAAAAGTATTTGCACTGAAAAAAAAATTACTTAAAACAAAAAAATTTTACTTGCTTTAAGATTTAATTATTTTTTTGAGGGGTACCTGAAACATATTTATTTGTTTCAAGTAATTTTTTTTCTCAGTGTATAGTTTTTAGTACTCGTAGTGAACAATGGGAAGACAGTTAATGATTACAATTGTTTGAATGCAAGCATAGTCGAGACCTTCCACTCACGATATCGATACTCTCGAGTTTCGATATCGTGAGCTACGCAGTGCTATTGCCTATTCTTATTATACATATACAGCAGCATCGTCTGTGTGACGTAACCTCGGACATAACAAAGACGAAGGTTTCAAGAAGCAACAGAAAGGAACAGCGAGTGAACAAATTTACAAATTTGTTAGAAACAAGATTTTTTACAAAGTTTTACAATGGATGATTTATCAGTAAGTAAATATATTGTTGCGCCCGTGGTATTTCACCCGTGTATCGGCGAGTTTCCCGCGTCGACCGGTATCGATCGCAGAAGCGGACAAAAGAGGATCGTCCTCTTAGTTACGGTTGTTATCGGGGATTCTGGACTTTGACAGCTCTGTATAGAACACTCTGTTTCTTTATTAATAAAGTTCCTCTTTATTATAACATCTCTAAGTTTATTACGCGAGTGCGGAAGTGCGCGAAAGTCTCGAGTGCGTGTCGCGAGTGCCGCTTTGCGACGAGCGTAACAATATGATGTCTTGCATGTTGTCTACGCATTTTATAGGTTAATAAGCGGTTTAAGGATTGATCTTTTGCAATCCTTACATAGATATGACGTAAATATTACATTTTAATATTGTTTAAATGTACAAAGAAATTTTTAATAAATTTAATTTGGAATTTAATTGTTTTCCAACGAAAAATATTTTGTTTGTATGCATCTTCTATAGTTGATAGAGACGTTGCAGAAGTTTCTAAAAATAAATTCAAGCTGATAAAAAAAAGTTCATATAAATTAATCATCTCAAAAGTGGAATAGTGAAATTTAACAACAGATAAAAAATAATGATTTCAAAATTTGACATCTTCAAAAAGTCTTAGAATAAAATGCATTTTACAAGAAAATTAGCTTTGTAAAGAATAAATAAAGTTTAAAATATTTATTTTAATTATGTTTCTGCAACATTTTTCTCCTACAACTACATGAAATGGAAAAACAATATTATTTATCTCGATTTATCTTTTTATTTTTTCCGTGTTACTTTAGAACTCTCTATGATGTTTTTAAAATACATTTAACGAAAACGGTTATGATTTATTTTTACCATTATTGAATCTTTGGCTTAATTTTTGGTATAAAAAGAATTATATAACATTATTTTTTATTTTAAAACCATCATGTTTCGTAGGTGTAAAAATTAAGAAAGATAAAATATTTATTTTAGTACAATCAATTGACATAAACATTTTAAAATGATACTTAGAAACCACTTAAAAAAACCAATATATGTTAAAAATATAAATATTAATAAAATTAACACACAGAATCGTAAAAAATAATAAAAAAATAATGTTAAAAATAAAAAAGAGGCATGTAAAAATTAATTATAAAACTTTAAAAAAATAAAGTATTTTCGTTAAAATTTATTATTAAAAGGTAATATTATTAATATAATAGCGAGATTGATAGCATACTTTTCGTTACTTTTTATGACTTTTTATCATTTTGCATGTTTAATTTTACATTTTGCCCCTTTTATTTTAGTATCATTTTTTTGTTATTTTTTATAACTTTGTATGTTAATTTTTACATGTCCTTTTTCTATACTTTTTAATAATTTCTAAGTATAATTTAAAATGTTCATATTTAAATAAAAGCTCACATAAGATTGAAATGGAAATTAAAATGAAATTCACTTATGTATTGTAATTTATTTGAATATAAATATTTTACAGTGATAGTTAAGAACAATTGAATAATCGGATAGCCATTATCCTCTCTGAATATGTCAATGACCAAAAAGAATAAAATCCGCCAGTCATATTTACATCTTCAGTAGAAGTCTCATTTTAATGGATAAATTGAGATAGGTAAATATTTTTTCCAGCTATGTCAATTTATTATTATTTTATTATTATTATATATTTCTTATAATTTTTTGTTTAATTTGACGTAACTCTAGAAAAAACAATGTAGAAGCGTAACTTAGAATCAAAAAACTCTTTTTCTTCTCTTGATAATATTTAAAATAAATTTACAACTATCTTTTATTAATATAATAAATCTTTTATTGGTTTTGTTTTTTTCAAGAGACACGTATATTAAATTTTTGATTGATATTATTTATACCTTTTTTTTCTTTGATATATGTCTATGCCAGTTATGCCTTTAAAAGGCTGCGTAAAATAAAAGAAATTGGGAAAGAAGAAGAATTTCAATCTATCAGAAACCGTATATTTCACAGTATACGATTTCTGATAAATTAAAATTCTTATTCTCTGTTCCCTGTTCCTTATTTCTTTTATTCTGCGCAGCCTTTAAGTACACATAAAATAGTTGAATTTGAGATTAACATTTGTTTGCTGAATTTTGGTTTTATGAAAAGATGTATATGAGTTACAGTACTATTTTATGAAAAGATGTATATGAGATACAGCATTATAATTAATTTTTTGCTAAATCTAAGGTAAATATATCGATGAAGGGAGGCTGCTCCAATGACCTTGACCTTTATATATGTTGTCAAGGGCATGACCCCAAGTAACCTTCAGATGGTTTTAGCCGTCGCTCGTTA